TGGGATCCTCTCCCATCACCTCAACCCTGGAAAGTTTTTCCAGTTGGTGCTTTTAGGTTTTATTTCCCATCACTGGGGGAGCACTGGGTTGTGCAGACTGTCTCACTGCTCTCTCTCTCTCTTTTTTTTTTTTGCTGGTTTATCTATGCACAAATGTGTGTCCTTGGTCAGCCAACCGCCTTGTGCACCTCGTCTCCTCCCCCACCCAGGTCTACCAACCACTGCCTCCTCCAGCCAGGACCCCTCTCCACAGACTCTGCCCCTCTTACCAGTCTGGATGAATAGTTCATTGTTATTGGGCTTTGGTACAGTTCAATCTTCTGTCCTGGTTGTGTTTTTGTTTCTAAATCTTTGTTGTCCTTAAATTTGGTTGTGTGAGGGGGTACAGTGTTTCCACCTGTGTCCCCATCTGGGCTGGAAGTCCCTGGTATTGTCTTTTAAAAAGCAGATCAACATCTTTGTTGAAAGTGGGTAAAAATAGAGTGTAGGTGATCAGAAAAACAGATTTTTGACCACAGGAGGTTTAAACTCAAAGAATATATGTTTGAGGGAAACCTAAGTGACATTTTAATCCATGTCAGGAGCTTCAACGACAAACTAAGCCAAAGTTGTTTCTTAAGAAAGATAAATAAAGTGTAAAGATCTGCTGTACAACATTGTACCTATGGTGTACCTTCTGTATGGTACACTTGAAAAGTTAAGAGGGTAGACCTCATGTCAAGGGTTCTTACCACAATAAAATAAAATAAATAAGAAAACAATAAAGAGAATACATTTTTGTGTTTCTACATTTATCGAGTATTTTCTCTTTGCCCAAACACTGTCCTGGCACTGCTATGTTCCCTGCACAGCTCTCTACGAAGCTGCTACTGTTACAAGTCCTACCAACACAGGAGAAACCGAGCCATGGAGACATAAAAAGGCAAGTGCAAGAGTGGGGATAAAACCCCAGATAGCCTCATTTCAGAACCTGAGCCCTCACCTGCCGGGTTACAATCCTTTCTCTCATGCTGAAAGGTATGTGGCAGCAAATGGATGTCAGATTTTCAGCAGGTTAAAACATTTGTTAACAGAATAAAATAAGCTTCTGTTTTCTAGTTGAGTTGCTTTGCAAATGAAATGAAAATAGTGTTCTCAATTTGGTCAGAGGCATTTGTCTTGTCTCTGATTTACTTATAGACTATTTAAAATTCTAAGACTTTTCTCCCTTTAGTCATTTTAAACTTTGCCATGGGCCCTCTGTTCCATGTCCATTGGCTAGCTAGATGGGTAGATACTTTGCACAGTTGCGCCACCTATCTTTCAGTGACATTTCACTTCCTGATAGCTTGAGACTTTCCTTGTTATGACTGCTTTGCATTGAGCTGTCAGCAAGCACATTTGTCCTGTCTGCCTTCACTAGGGAACATGTGCGTCTCGCTCTAAGGAGCTGACTTGTGCAAACATTTCTCTGAAGACAATTTGAATTACATGTGACGTGTACTACTAGACCAGTGCTTCTCAGCCTTTAAGGTGTATTCAAATTACTGGAGAATTTTGTTAAAATGCAGGACCTGAGATCGTGCATCTTTAACAAGCTCTCAGGGGAAGGTGATTGTACTAGTCCCTGGGCCACAGTTTGAGTGCTGAGGTCCTCGAAACTACTCAGTTTTGGGGGGTCTGGAGAGAACATTTCATTTGATTCAAAATCAGGGGAAAAGCCCTCCCTATAATTTTCTCATTTCCACTAAGTTTTTAGATCTCAGATCATAAATATCAGTTTTGATATAAGTCAAGTTATATGTTTTTATGTTTGCAAGCAAATATATTTATAAAAGCTATTTTAAAATTTAAATGTTTCCATTTGGGCCCTCAGTCTATTGGTTCAAAATACTTTTCATTTTGCTTTTCAAAATTTGAAATTTACATCCCTGAAGTCATACTTGGAACTTCTAGAATCATCTGGCTGTCAGAGAGCTGTGTAACCTCCCATCCCATCTTGGGGCAGGCAGGTATAAGGTTCTTTCATCAGTAAAAACTAAATCCAGAACTCAGAGCATTAAAGGGACAAAAATCAAGTTTTGGAATTGCTCTAGAATTAGTTCCTGGACTCAGCAGTCCTACTTCAACAGGTGTCAACTGGAATTTTCTAGATTTTCCAGGTAACTTTGTCCCTGTGTTCTTCTTGTTATCGTCAGCATCACTCATGTTTGCTCTAACAAGGAAACATCTAATAGAGATAAATGTAAAACTCCTACACTTGGGTCCCAAGACCAAATTGCAAAAGAGTAAAATGTAAAAAACATAGGCAGAAATTGTCCGTTTTCAAAAGAAACAAAAATTTTGTTGCCTGCCAGGTCCATGCCAGTGACCAGAATACTGTTATTCAGTCTCAGAATGCCTCAGCAGAACAATAGTGCCCGAGGCAAAAAGGGGCGATGGCTTCCTCCACTTTGCACTGGCAAAGCCACACTTGGGACCGTGTGGCATTTGGATGTCTGTACATGTCTGAGTGTGTGTGTGTATCTGTGAGTCAGAGAAGGTATGGGAAGGCAGAAGAAAGGGCAGTCAGGATTTAGGAGAAACAATGAAAGTGACTGACAAGTTTCAAAAAGATAAACCAAATGGTAGTTTATCTTTTTGAAGATAAGTGAGGGGAAAAAAGATGGCGAGAGAGCTTCGCATTGTGTTATAAGTTAAAAGACATAGGAATATTTACCTCTGAAGTGTGTACACATGAGTTTTAGATTAGAAGTTAGTAAAATATTGACAATGGGTGGATGGATGGAAGGATGGACCGACAGATAGGCATCTATTGAATTTATTCTATGTGCTAGGCACTCTGCTGAGAACTGACATAAACTAAACAGTGTTACTCTCCAAACAATCCTTTGAAATTAGCATTGTCCCCATGTGAAAACTGGTGAATGTGAGACACAGATAAATTATGTGACCTGTCCAAAGTCATTGACTGAGTGACCTTACAGTTTGTGCTGTTAACATTTCATTTATAACCATGTGTGACAATCACAGGGATTCACTGCTCAGATCCCCCTTAAAGAAATAACTTGCCGGCCAGCTGTGAGAAGTGTAGTTAGCTGACAGCTTCCAGCTGTTGACAACCTCAGAATCTACTCTGCAATCCTGCTGGAGACCATGCTGTTTCTTAGAGGCCCCAGCCAGCGGCTGAGCATGGCTGGGGTAATAGGGACTGGGCATCTCTGCCCACTGTGGGGCTCCTTCGATACACAGTCTTTTCTCAGGACTTCCCCACTGAGTTCTCATACTCCATCAGTCAGCCTGGCAGTCCGAGGCTCTCCTTGCCCGCTCCTGCCTCCTGCTCCCTTTTGTCTATTACAGAAATCATTTCGAAAAACAAAAACAAAATAAGAACTTCTTTTACTCCACCATCCATTCTCAGCATTTGCTTCCTGTGGGGCCCAACTGACATACCATGTCTTCAAATATTTGGAGTGCCATCCTATGAAAGAGCATTTGCAATTGTTTCCCTGTGGTAATACAGGGTCAATGAGGACAAAGAGAACTATTAGGGAAGAAGCTTTCATATATATGTAAGCTCTCTATTACCTAGACCTGCCCAAACAGTAGAAGGGGCTGCCTGAAGACTGATGAGTCCCCAGTTCCTGCACCGAGTCCTTCGGACCAACAGAGGCTGTTTGTTGTAAGAAGGTTGTCCTCACCACCACAACCCCTGCGTGACAACCGGAACACCTAGGATGTTAAACACCAGCAACACTAGTCAAGGAGGAAAAACCAGATTGTCGAGAAAGCCACAGCAGGAAGACCAAACCTCTGGTGTGTCGGCTGTTCCGTGGCTCTGGGTTCACACCTGCACACTTGTGCACTCCCAGGGTGGCCCGAGGTACTTCAGGACACCCCGGCCACTGTCCACATACTGTTCTCATTTTTAATAAAAAATTTCCAAGCAAGTGAGTTAAGGCCGTGGGTTGATTGTTTCTGTGAGTCATTTGGCCACATAAACACCATACTGCACACATGCTTTATTGAACAAACTGTAATATAGGTTCAGCATCCGATGAAATTCTAATGACGCCCTCCACTGAAACCTAGTTCTTAAGTTCAATTAATGTATCCCAGAACCAGAAGGATTTAATTCCTCAAGGCCATTGCTTCCTTTCCTTCATCAAGACACCAGCACACCAATGAGGGGGCAGGCACTTGCCCCCTTCCTGTATTTCCATGATAGTTAAATTACGTAAGTAATCATGTATTTCAGATAGAAAAATAAGAGGTGGGAAAGTCTGGTAGAAAAACAGTAACCTAGTCAGCATAGGGGTCTGCACACAAGGAGACACTCATTAGATCTGCATTTATAGGGTCTGGCACAAACAACACCCCTTTTTATTACAAACCCTTTTGCTACAAAATCATAAGCATGTAATTCTGTAACATAACAATATCACACTCAAGCACACCATCTGACATTTTAGGTGAAATGTTCAAATTAAAACTATAAATTATTACACCCATATTATTACCCTACCAAACCACACTCAAACAGGTGTTACTTCCGCCGGATCCTGTATTTACAGGCCACTTACCAAAGGCTAGACTCTTGCAGGTGCTGAGGACACAAGGATGTGCCCGACAGAACCCCCAGTTTCATGGGGCACATACTCAAACTCTGTGGAGAAAGCCTGCCGGCCCCTCACTGAGAGAAGCTCGCACAGCCGCCATCACTGGCAGTGCTCCTAGGGGGAGTGCTGTGGAGCCCCCCAAACTGATGTCATTTCCCTCCCTCTTCACCCCTAAGTGCCTGCAGCATCCTTGCCACCTACAGTCTACATTTTCAAGAATCATGTTATTACACTGCAGTGTTTTGAAGCAAATTCATAAAATTTGCCAGAGAAGTTAAAAAAGGCAATCTCAGCAATATTTGGGGGCTTTTAAAATAACTGTTGACACAGCTGACCTGCTGGAGACAAAGGCAGTGGGAGGGCCCTTGCTGGTGAAATAAATAGGAGTCTCTGTGCTAACAGCCCACAGTTTAGAGCTGAAGTCTGAACTCCACCTTCAGGCAGAATGAGGTTCTTCCCCGGCTGTCTGCTTCTCATGCTTCTGGTCTGCAGCCTCTCTCCGGTCTATGGTGAGAACTTTCACTTATGATGTCATTGTCTTTTGAATAGAAATGGTCTTCAGCCATTTCAGTGAGAAAATGGGGGGAAATATGACTTAAGGAGGAAAAAACTGCTCACAGCTCCTGGATCTGTAGAAGTCAGGGGCTTGAGGATTTAACTCTTGGGGCTGGAAGCATTTATATTGTTACAATTGCTGGCCATAGAAGGAAGGATACTGGACAGCCCATGTCCCTGTGATTTACACTTGGTTTGTCTATTCCTGGCCTTTTTCAGATTTAGCTCTGCTATAACCAGTTCTTTCCATGTATCTCTTCTCTGTTCTGCCAGTCAGTGCTACCCCTTCTGACCGAATCCTTTATAGGGTTTAAAGACTGTTGACCTCAGTGGGCTGGTCTCCTGCAGGGAACATCTGATGCAACTCTGTATGGTTAGCACTGACATGAACCATTATAAGTACAACAGGAGTATTTAAGTACAAGCTTTCTGCAAAGAAGCAGACTTCCAAGTCTAAATGGGAAGGTGATCTTTGTGTAAATAGGCACATATCTACTTGAAGTGGTAACTTTTTATACACTGAATGAATCAGATGCACGTGCAGAATGATACACTTGACTCAGGTTTAGAGGACATATTTTCATTCTTAAAATGAAGGAAATATTTTTTCAATGATTATTTTGCTTTACATGTTATTTTCATTCTTCAAGACCCTCATCTCTTTCCTCCTCTATGAGGAAAGAGAGGAAAGCTTTCCCATTGCTCCTGGCAAAGTCCTCTGTTCCTGTCATGCAGGTGGGACCCTGGGTGAAGCACAACATGCTGTGGTATTTCAGTTTTTGCTCATTTGTTTCCCCCACTAAATTGTAAACACCGTGGGAGCTGGGTCTCATATTAGCAAATATATGTTAAACATGCTGGTAGGTGCTGGGATTAAAGAGGAAATAATTCATTAAAATACATGAGATGGGTTCCTTATGGTACTAGTCTAGTACTAATAACTCCTTGGATAAAAATAGTCTTCAATTGTTATTATTGGTTTTTGTTTGGTAATTATTTACAACTAAAATGGAGTACTAATGTATTAAACAAAACCAAAAAATACCTTCGACAATATTTCTGTTTCCTCAAACAGAGACTGACAAGGGGGACATTGAGTGTAACGAGAGAGAGAACTGTTATAGCTTGTTATTTATTGCTTCCAGGGCTCTGTGATGAGTTTTTGTCCTCAGTTTTTATGTGTTCGGAGTGAAGTTCAGTTGATTTTATACTGCATGAATTATAACTGAGTCGTAAGGCCCCATTGCAATGGTTCTTAAATTTTACTATGTAGACAATTACCCGAGTGCCAATATAATTCTATCACAAATTTCAGTGGTTGTTGTTTTTACAAAGCTAATTTTATTTTTAAGACTTTGGTAGAAAATGTTTGAAATTAAGTCAAGGCAAGCAGAAATACACCCAGGAAAGGGAAGTGGGAACTTCAAGCACCAACTTGCAATTTTTAAATCTTCAAATGCACTGTACAAAAGATCAGTAGTTAAGTTCTAGTTGTGAATTATATGCCAAGGGAATTGAAATAATGGAGTCTGTGTTTACAGGTGTCCTGGAGGCCCCTTATGTAAGATTCAGGTGTCAGTGCACCAAAGTTACCCATCGGATGCCCAGGTGGAACTCGATTAAACAGATTAAAACCTTTCCACCCGGGAATGGCTGCCCACACCTGGAAATCCTGTAAGTTGTAAGAAAAAGTATATGTTATTTTCTTCTCCCAGTGAAAATCAGATTCTATGTTTCCACGTAAAATTTAAACTTAAATTTTTAAAAAATTATAGCTGACACTCTATATTATATTAGTTGTGGTGTACAGCATAGTGGTTAGACATTTATATAATTTACAAAGTATTTTTCCTGATAAGTCTAGTACCCAACTGACACCAAGTAGAGTTATTACAATACTATTGACTATATTTCCTGTGCTGTACTTTATGTCCTATGGATATTTTGTAACTGCCAATTTGTACTTTATAATCACTTCCCCTTTCTTACCCAGTCCCCAACCTCTCCTTCCTTCTGGTGTCAATCAGTTTCTGCTCTGCATCTACGAGTCTGTCTCTGTTTTGTTTGTTCAGAGTTTTGTCGTTGTTGTTGATATTTGTTTGTTTTCTATTTTTTAGATTCCACACATAAGTGAAATTATATAGTATTTGACTTTCTCTGTCTGCACATTACCCTGTAGGTCCACCCCGGTTGTTGTGAATGGTAGGCCATAGGCCACGTAGTATTCTTACTCAAGAATTTCCAAGTAATTTACTTTGAGGGTCAGTAACAATTCTCAGGCTAATACTGAGAGTCATCCATTTCTGTCCAGTGCTTATTATGCAGTGGCCCTAAGCTAAGTGCTTGACATGCATTCCTTTATTTTACTCCTTAGCCCTACTAAGGCCTGTGTATTGTTATCATTTCTTTACAGATGCAGAGCCTGAGGCTTAGGGAGGTTAACTAACTGCTCTAGGCACACCATTCCAGGGGGACAGAGCCAGGAACACTACTCACACTTTGCCCACTCCCAAGTGCCTTCTCGAATCCACCAACTTTGAAATTGCCAGCGAAAGCAGATACTTTGTTTCCCACTAAGAGCAAGACAAGGAGTATCCACAAAAGTCCTTTTTCTGAATCTCTGTTTTACAGAAATGACCTTTAGCTTTTGGTTCTATCGCCTTTGATCCCATAATTCTGAAGCAAGTGTTAGGCTAAGGGGACAGTACTGGCAGTGAGAAATTGAATAGATATTTTCTTTAATTGAAATAGTACAACCCCTTGCTTCTGTGACCCTCCCTTTTTTGCATTCCCAAAAAAATCTGTGGATACCTCTACCATAGCATTGTTCATGGCACATCAAATGAGACTTTACATTTCACACGAGAGCCCGGCTTCAGTGTCTGGCACAGTGCGAAACATTCTGTGAATGTTGGCTGCAATCATTACAGCACTGTGTCGAGACAATCAAGTTTGTCTCCCCTCTTTCACTCCTGCCAGAAAAGAAGTTCTTTGTGAGCAGGGGTCAGATACTATTCATTCCTCTATTCCTAATGCTTTATTCTTTACCTGGTATGTAGTAGCAGAGGCTCAACAAGCACCTGATTGTTACATTAAATATTTTAAATGGAGTCTGGAGTTCTTTTTGCGTATCACTACTTAGAACTTTGGTTTCTCCTTCTTGGACCCATCTTTAATGAACCAAGCACCAAAAACACCTTGAAGTATTAGACATAGCATCTTTCCAGGGCTTTGCTGACTTTGCTTTCATTAGAAGTTCTTCCTTTGGACTTTTTAGGCTTTTGAAATGTTTATAAACAGCTCACTTTTTTTCTTGTCCATTTCGATGTTAGTGTTTTGGGCTTCAGACTAATTGTATTCAACTTATAAAAATACATAATATCAAATATATATAAAATTTTTCATTGAAAAAGCATTATACTTTCACTAAGGTGTCTGCCAATGAAGGTCCTAACTAAGCCACAGTTATTGTCCTCCAAGTCAGAGCTGTGAAGTCCAGCCAGGACCTCGCTGGGAGCAGCTCTGTGGTTGAGTAGAAAACTGAGGCTTCTTTCTTTTTATGACATTTCCTCTGCCAGGAGTCCAGGCTCTCACCTCTCAATCAGGGAAAGTAATGCAACATCATTTTCTTGGTAAACTGACAAAAATTTAATTTCTTAACTTCTCACCAAATTCTGGTTACCTAATGAAAACCAGATACAGAATCAAAAGATGCAGATTATTATGTGAAACTCACAGCAGTCAGGGGTCCAAATATTACGTGTCCAGATGACCAGAAACCTGTTTTCCATCACGAACTCAGAAACCGAACTGGAAGCCTCTGCCCAGGAGCCCTCTTGTGGAATGGCCTCTGACTGCTTGTGATTCACTTAACAAGGGTAGAATTTCACAGCTAGATGGACAGATCCTTCCTGTTGGTCATTTTATAGCTAAGGGGCATCAGTAAATTCTCTTCTATGTGAGTTCACACCAATAAAGGGTAGATTTCCCCAGTCTGCTCTCTCCTGGGAGACTTCACTTCCTCCCCAGCAGGTGGAACATGCAGCACTGTGCCTGGCACTTGATGCCGGTTCAGGGTGTGCCCTATAAAGCTGTGGCTAAAGGGCGGGTTCTGGAGTCAGATAGCCTACATTTGTGTTTATGTACTTACTTTGCAGTCTTGGAAAACTTATATAGTAAACTCACTAAGCTTCAAGTTCCTCCTTATATAGTAAACTCACTAAGCTTCAAGTTCCTCTAGCATAGGGTTTTTGGTAGATTCATTGAGGTACTTCACATTACCTGCTGAGCATACTGCCTGGCACACTGTGAGTGCTTGCTCAATAGCAGCTGTTAATTATTGCTGCTGCCTTGGTTATTGCTTAATTTCTCCCAGCAGTGAAATCCTCACTAATCAGTGGTTCAACCAAAAAATGTGGATATCACTCACAGCAACCAGGTCTGACACCTCTCCCACATTAAGTTTCACGAAATTTTTTCAGGTAAAACGTCCTCAAGAGAGTGTGTTTTATAGTCTATTTTGTTCTCCCAAGCTCAATGCTCAAAAACATGGAAAAGATATTGTGATATGGCTTTAGAAATGAGCCAACTTTTGAGTTGGCTATTCAGTCTGTCTCCAACTCATGTAAGAGTTGTCAACAAAACATTAACCTTGGACTTGTAAGATTCTGTAGGCTTTGTAGGCGGTTCCACCAGCTCACACACATGTATCTGCAAATGGTGTTCTTCTTATTCTTCAGACCTCATGCTACAAATCACCTACTTCTGATCCAAAACTGCCTACCTCCAATTTGCTTCATCTGGGAATATTTATTTTTATATTCAAGTGGAAGATTGCTAAAATGTAACACTGCTTTATTTTTATTTCTGTTTATTTTCTTCCAGCGCCCGGCTAAAGAATGAGGCAACAATATGCTTGGATCCTAAATACCCAGAGACATTAAGCCTTTTGGAAAAACTAAAGAAGTAAGTTTGGCATATGAAAGTTTTGCATTTTCTAATTTGTACTGAAGGATTTCCCTTTCCTGGGCAGTCAAAATGGGTGCCATTTTAAATTTATGAGAGGTTTCTAAGACAGATGTTGCCCCCCCTTATTATTACTTATCTGATAGAGTTAAGTAACAGTTAAGGGGTGACTCATTCTAGCAGATCAGTACACTAAACCAGAAGCCAGTATCTGCAATATTCCTTGCTTGCTATCTCAGGGGAAAGCCACAGTGTCTGGTCTCTCTCTAAACACAACTCTCTTGTTTGTGTTTTTGTTTTATAGAGCACGTGAAGCTGCGCGTAAGCCAGTTGCTTCTCAGTGGAAATAGGAGGCTGATGGCAAAACCGCCACTAAGGACACCTGCATCCTTCCGCCTTCCTGCTCTGGGCTCCGACTTATGTTCCATGGAATCTCTCCCCTCAGCTCCCCTAAAACAGTGAGCTTCCCCATACAAACAAGCATGAGAAGACACGTAAAGATCACCCTTCAGAGGCTGATAGGGCAAATTTGAACAACTTTTTCCAAATAAAGTGCTTTATATACCTGGAGTTTGCATTTTTATTCATCAGGGAGGAAAGTTTTATGTAAGTTTCTTTGGATAGTGCACTGATTGTTGAAATTTAGACCGATTGTCTAAACTTTGCTAGAAAATAAGCAAGTGAGAATTTAAACCTCAAATCTGAACATCTGGCTTGAATTAAGAAGGAAATTATAGAGTTAATTTCAATCATTTTATACCCTAAGAAAAGTAGGCTTCTATAAGAGACTAGAAAAAAAAAACAACCAAAAACCCTGCCTGGAAAAGCCACAAAACTTCAGCCTGACAAGAGGCAGAGGGGTCCACATAGTAGGCGTCTTCCATTCAAAAGTTCTCTATTGAGAGGAGTGGGGGCCTTTTTCTACTTTTAAAAAGTCCTCTTATAAGAATTATTGTCACAGATAAAAACTAGTAACACTCAAGGAATTTAAGTTCCTCAGACTTACATTCATAGAATATTCAGGACATGTATTTAAAGGGTGATATTTGGATGTGCTACTCTTTACTATGTTTGCTTTGACAAACTTTTTTACTCACATCTTTTGCACAGACTTGTTTTCTGGTAGCCGATTCTACCATGCTTCCTATCTCACGCTTCTTAGTCGAATCTCATTCAGCAAACTTGAGCAAACATTGTACTTAATTATAAGCAATTTATTCTGAATGGAGCATCTCTTCAAATTTAGACATTCTTTGCATCAACATAATGAAAAGTAGGACTTTAACATGTTTCGTCTTCTTTGCATGCCACTTACCTTTGCAGATGATCTAAATTATATGGCAAAGGATGAGAGAAGTTATTCCTGATATTAAGACAAATGGGAAAATGTTTGACTTACAAGAGCCTCTTTCCCTTGATACACTCAATGTGATTTCCTCCAGAAATTTCCAATCCCCTACTGAAATCCATTTTCACTGTCTCATGAACTGATTTTAAAAACCTCTAGTTTCATTTGAAAAAGCTTTTCATTGGGTTTGACAAACAGAAGTGGCTGATTCTGAAACTCCCATCCCCTCCTGCCCCTGGTTCCAGCCCCGCTCTCCCACCACTGCACTGAGTTCTGCCGGGTTTGCGCCCCTGCCCCCTGCTTTCTGGGCAGGGGGCTCTCTCACAGCACACCCAGGTTCCCAGTTACATCTGGCTCTCTCTTTTGTTTTTCTTTTTTTATTTAAATAATTTTCTGAGGAAGAAGTAAAAAGCACTTATAACCACAGGGCGCAGCAAAAATAGGTTTACAGTGGTTCATATGGAAAATATTACAATAATAAATAATAATACAAGAGTAGACTCTGTGTTTTGCGTGCTCACAACTGTAAACATACTTTTCCCCACCCTGTACTGCATTTTCTATTGTTTACAAGTCAATGTTTCTTTATTACAAACACACACACACATAAATGGACTGTAAAATGTCACCAAAATCCTGCATTCTAGCATTTTTCAGATTTCCATATTTAGGGATCAGAAAACTTTTCATTCTTTAGTTTGGTTTTGGTCTTCTTTGAGAAGTGTAGCTAGACAAATACTCAGGAGCCTCAAATAAGAAATGTTCAGTAACTTTCTCAAGGCCTTACAGATACTCAACAACGAGCCAAACTCTGAATGCAGCCTGGCACCAGAGTCGAAGTTTCTAACTACTACACTGTGCCGACTCTGCATGAGACAGCTGTCATCGGCTGCAGTTTACAGAAGCAGAAATGAAGGCAAACAGACCTTCACTTGCCCCAAATCACATAACTAATAAGAGACAAAACCCAAATTCAAACCCAGGGCCACCTGACTCTTAAGCAAATGCTCCTAATCACAACGCCATGCTGCTGACACTTTTCTTATCCCTAAATGTATTTCTTACCTCAGCTCCATGGCCCAGCCTCCTTCACAGGGTCAATCAAAGCCAGGGGAAGGGTGGGAGCCCCAGAACACTCAGGCTTCCCATGGGTGGGGACACGCATGGGGTGCAGTCCAATACCCAGGGGACTGGATGGCTGAGAGGGCAGCAGGAAGGCGGTGGGCCAAGGCGGAGTGAGAAGCAAAAATGGCCAGTGAGGACTTCTAAATTTGCTCTTCTTACTGCACACGAACCCATCCTTCAAAAGTCACAGTAAATGTGGGGGCAGTCAGCCTGGTTTGGAACACGGATCTGAACCTATGGTTAGATGCAGGATAACTTGTTGAGGCAGGTAAGGGAGTGTCTGAGGAAAAGCCATCATAAGTAATCTGAGTGAGTTGGATCTGGAACGGGAGATAATAAAACAGGAAGGCAGATTTTAGGAGATTTTAGGGCTATGTACATTCACACATATACAAATGAGTTAGAATCCAAAGTGAAACAGAATGGAAGGTAAAAACAAAACAGGCTATTTAACTTTGGGAAACGGAATAACAGAGCTTTGAGGCCGGGCTACACAGGACCTCCAAGTGGCAGAAGGTGAGGAACCTCAACAGAGGGAGCTAAACCTCAAATTGCCTTGCTCACACCCACCCAACCATCAGAGGCCCAAGGAGAACATATTTGGTTTCTCCATGGAAAGCAGAACTCCCCCTTCCACCCATGGCAGGGGCCAGCCGACCTCACTGGGTCACGGCCAGCCCAGCTGGGTGGGTCTGTCCTGGTGGTCGTCTTTCTCGTCACCTTCCTTTCTACGCTCCTTCCCTCTTGATGAGAGGTGTCATGTAAGGATTGGTATCTATCCCAGGCTTCCTTGCTCTGAGGTAAAGTTTGGTGATACTTTTGAACAGAATGTGTGTGTCTACTGAAAACTTGGTATAACTGGGAAAGAAAGGGCATCCAAGGGTCAGAAGGGTAATAACTGAAAGAGAAGTGACAGCATTTCGTGACCCTCAAGGCCAGAAGGTCATTCTCCAAATGCCGTTTCTCTGAAGAGCATCAGCAGCAGCATCTGGAAACTTGTTAAAATACATATTCTCCAGCCTCTCCCCAGACCTACCGATTCACAAACTCAGGGGTTGGGCCCAGCAGTCTGTGTTTAACAAACTGTGGTATAATAAAATATATTTGTTTTTTGTCCCTGTTTCCAGGCACAGAGCTCCAAAAACCCTTGAAGTTTCCTAATAGGGGTGCTTTTTATTATTCACAATGAACCCCTTCCAACCATACCTGAGTTCATGCTACTGAAGTGACTATTGCCATACTCCTAGACAGCTTCAGGATGGGGGCTGGTTTCCAGAGGAACCAACCATGTGATTAGAAGGTTGGCATTCTCAGCCCTGCCCCTGAACCTCCACAGTGGGGGAGGGGCTGCATTTCCACTGCCGATGGCCAATGGTTTTTAATCAGGCATGCCTACACAATAGAACCTCCTTTAAAAAATTCCTGAACAATAGGGTTCAGAGAGCTTCTGGGTTGGTGAACATACTGAGGTGCTGGGAGGGTGTGCCAGGGGAAGGCATGGAAGTGATGTGCTCCGCTCCCTCGTACCTTGCTCCATGTATCTTGTGCATTTGGCTGTTCTGAGTTGTATCCTTTGCAACAACCCAGTAATAATAAGTAGACATGAGCTTATTGTGAGTTATTCTAGTGAATTATTAACCCTGGGGAGGGTGTAGCCATGGAAATCTCCAAATTATGGTCAGTTGGGCAAAAATGTGGATAGTCTGAGCACCCCATTTGCAGCTGGTGTCTGAAGTGGGGGCAATCTTGTGGGACTGAGCCCTGAACTAGTGTTAGAATTCAACTAAATGTTTGGACACCCAGCTGGTGTCCAGGAACTACAGGATTGGTTGGTGTCAGTAAACACTTGAGGGAAAAAAACACTTTCACAACCCGCCAACCAGCCCCCACCCCCCACCCCAGACAATTATGGTACTGCTAATGTTTGAAAAGCATTGTTCTAGGATACGAGCTCCAACCTGCACGGTATGTTAGAGTCATCCAGGGAACTTTCTCTTCTGAAATATGGGGTTAATTAAATTATAATTGATATACACTGGAACTTATCCTCTTTAAGTGTTCAGTTCAATTAATTATTTTGCACAGTCCCTATCTCAGTCAGCTTGGGCTGCTATAGCAAAGTACCACAGACTGGCTGACTTACACTAACAGATATTTATTACTCCTGGTCTGGAGGCTAGAAGTAGAAGATCGGGGTGCCAGCATGATTGGGTTTGGGTGAGAGCCTTTTTATGGGTTGCAGCCTGCTGACTTCTCATTGTGTCCTCTCGTGGAAGAGAGCAGAGGAAGGCACCAAGCTCTCTGGTGAATCTCATAAAAGTACTAATACCGTTCCTGAGGGCTCCACCTTCAGGACCTCATCTGGTGCTAATTACCCCCAAAGGCCCTACCTCCTAACACCATCACATGTTGAAGGGTAGAGTTTCAACATAGGAATTTGGTGGACAAATATTCAAACCATTACAGCCCTAGCCTTAGTTTTGTTCTTAAAATTTTGCCTTTTCCAGAATGTCATATACATGGAATCATACAATGCGCATCCTTTCGTCTGGCTACATTGCATGTTTTTGAGATTCATCATGTTATTGAATGTATCAGTGACTTATTCTTTGTTGTTGTTGGCTACTATTCCATTTAATGGATATATTCTAATTTGTTTATTCATTTACCAGTTGATGGGCATTTGAGCTGTTTCCAGTTTTTAGACATTATGAAGAAATATGTAGTTAATATTCAAATACAAATCTTTGTGGGAACATATGATTTTTGTTTCTCTTATCTAGATACCTAGAAGTAAGATTGCTGAGTCATATGGTAGGTGCATATTTAACTTTATAAAACACAGCTGACTTGCTTTCCAAAGTAACTATATTATTTTGCATTCCCATCAGCAATATATGAGAATTCCAGTGACTTCATGTCTTCACCAGCACTTGGTATTGTCAATATTTTAAATTTTAGACATTTCAGTAGGTGTTTAATGTTTTGTCTTAATTTATATTAAAATAGCTAATGATGTTGAACAGTTTTTAATGTGCTTATCTGAGATCCATGAATCTACATTAAAGATACACCTTACATGAAAGATTTTCTCTAT